GAGTGTGCGAAAGAGAGAGTAACTGTAGCGTAGCGAAAGAGGTAACATATTGGTGACTAGATCCTCGTAAACATCAATAATTGAAATTTATGAAAAACTGTATTATTAAACTATTTTGAAAATTAAATTATTTCCAAATGTAGATACTTATACTTTCGAATATATTAGTTAGACACAATTTTACCAAGAAATCAGTAACCGTCTTACGTATCGATTTACTATCTGGTAATATTCTTCATCAATCTGAAGACTTTCCTACAGCTTCTGTTCATCGAGGCATTCCGACGAAATCGAGCGGATGCAGCAGAGGGGATAAGGTTGCATCGAGGTAACGCGCGACGGGTGAAACGCCGGTGGACCCCGACGAGTGACCCGTCCGACCCGATGCGGTTAAACGAATCGCCGAGAGAACGGTGACGCTTCGATTGACTGATAATCGCACGTTGGGGGCTGGGTCACAGGGTTCACCGAGGTGACAGAAAATCGAAGGGTTCCGCGGAGGTGAGGCATGCCGTCGCATGCTCATTAAACGAATTACTCGTATTCTTGTTTAACGTTACGCTCCCGCGGCGGATTAATCTTCCTGCTCTCCGCGGCGGAGGGGAAGACGGAGAGCGCGGCAGGCGGAAAGGAAAGACACGAGTCGCGAGACGAGGCGACGGGAAAGTACGTTGGCCTCCGAGCGGAGGTCGAAAAGACACGACACGTATGAAAAAGTATTCATCGCGCGGAAAATAGCGTGTACCGCACGGAACAGCCGAGCATGTTCGCACGATATAACGGAACGGAACTTTCATCGGGAGGAAAAGTTGGGTGAACTCGCGGCGACGACAGTTTCTTTTCCTACGAGGCAATTACCGAAGACACCGCGCCGCGTCTTCCGTCGATTGCTTTCCAGGGAAACCGTCTCCCTCGTTGCCACGCTTCGCGGACATTAACATGTTGACTGGCAAATAAACATTTAGCAGAACTCCCATACAATCGAAACAGTTTTCTTAACTTGTTCACACGTTACCGCTCACTTCGATATCGGTGGTGGACAACAAAAGAAATTGTTTCTTTTTTGTTAATTAGAGGATTCTTGGGGAGTTCGATCAAGATTTCATACTTTCAGAATAAAGTATTGTATTTATTTATTTATGATACTAAGAATATAGGACAGCCATTGCCGTTATTTGCATCTATATTCACGAGCGTTGGACGCCTGTAGATGGTATTCTTGTTAACATCTTAACTGTGGAATTTAGTTTCGAAAATCTTTGATTATATGCGCAATAAAATCAAGTGAAGTGTATATTCTCCAAATGCAAGACAAACGCAGTTATAATATATTCTGACGGAAAACTAAAGCAAAACGAAGGATTATATGTTTGTCTGAAAAAATGAATAACTGATTGTTGAAAGAATTAGTGTCATTTTGAGTTTCAAGATGACGTGTGTACTTGTCGAACATAGTTAACTGGTTAATAAAACTGAAATGAGGAAGTATAAATTTTTTGTAACGATTGCTTTACTGCCCTTCCTATATTTAATACATGTAACAAAATTCGATTCATTCCAACGGTACTCCCTGTGAACTGTTTTAACTCTTTCCGACAAGTAAGGTTACAGTTATTGAATAATTTTCCACACTGTTTGGAGTTTGAATCGAAAAGCAAACTTGCCTAGTTTTTCTTTGACGCTTCTTATAGGGAAATGATCTGTTCATTGTCTCTCGAATAGATTGAAAAATATTAATAATATTAATATTGTGGGAACTATTATTATTAAAATAACAGTATGCGAGAAACTACGTAACTATTGATACCTAACCAAGACCTAACCAAGAAAGTCTCTTTAAGTGTAAAAAGTAAAAATAAAGTTCAGTTTCCAATTTAAAGTTTAAAAATTTAAGCTACAAATTTCGACATCTTGATCGATGTTGTCAGCTCATGAGCTGGTTATGAAGGCAGCTAATGCTTCTCGGTACCGGACGTCGGTCAACCGCGAGTCTTCGTAATAATCCTTTTCACTCGGCCCGGGTTCGGGACGTGTAATTAATGCGGCGCTACTCGACGCATGAAATTTACGCGCGTTATTCCCGTTAACCGTAGCGTGTTAGTCTAGTCTCATCCCTCCCAACAACAAGCGGCTGGACATGGATGTCCAACGAGCTTTCGACGGTCATTGACTCTTTCGTACCAACGCCGAAGGGTCACGCGAAGAGCGCTCTCGCTCGAGAGGTCGATAAGCATCGAAAACGAGATACTCTCGGCAAAATGTAATCTGCGAATGATCTACGATCTCTCTAACACGTCGACCGCTCGATCAGCATTCATCAAATTACTTGTACTTGATTGAATTCTCTTAATACATTCGCATCGCATTTTTGCTAAAACTTTCCTATGAAACGGGGTATTCTAATGATATGAAAATATTTCAACGTATGTGTATTAAAGCTGTGATAATTATTTTTGTAATTCAAATACAATATAATATATAATGTGTTAACATAATGAAAACTGAGAAGTCAAGTTTACGGAGTTGTTTTTTCAACTTTCTTAGATGCCATTGATACGGTTTCGTTTCATATGCTACCGGAAAAAGGAGATTTCGAATCTATGTAAAAACTGGTTGATTCAGTGTTTTTGACACTATTCCATTAAAAACTGTTTATCACGAGGATATTCAATTTATTTTAGGCGTTAGATAAATTATTAGTGTAGATTTTTATTTGTACGTATAATTCTACGTCGACTCAGTTGCGTTCAAAGTGTCTTTAACTCGAAACTTTCGACAGTACTGCACATTACTGAACCACAAAGGAAACAAATTCATCTGCACACATTGGATACTTTAAATACGGCTTCCGCAGCGAATTAATTTCGTTCGACCTCTCGAGTATATTCAACAAACTATCAGCGAACATTTCCATCGACTGGAAGAGAATTATTTCAATCTCTTCTAGACAGATTCGATCATTCTTTAATCAATACTAAACCAAAACTCTATCCAAATACAAAAAGATACTTATTAAGAACTTTAACACGATAATGAAAATCACATTACTCTTTGTTTACAAGATAAATATAAACGAGATATTCATTTCTCTCGTCAGCCAGAAATAGACTTCTTTAGTTATTTAAGAAACGATTAAAGGAATGTTGTTAACAACTGTTTCGCGTATTAAAAAATCCCAGAGCCGAGGGTGAATTGAATTATTCAAGGAACATCTCTAACGTGTTTAAATCCATCCTACGTCCCCTCGCGCCCTTTATTAAAAATTCACTGAACCTTACCCCCTATCGGATCGCTATTCTAATATATTTACAAGCGCGGGAAGCAATAAATAACAAGAGCATCCCTCGATGCGAGTTCTCCTCTTCGCTTTTCGCTTAATTCGAATTTCGCTCACGCGAGATAAACGGTCCCGCACGAGAATCCTCGCGTTCTCACGAAGCTGCGTGCGATCTCCGCAACAACCGGACCAAAATATCGATGTTTCATACCATTAATAGAATTAAGTAATCAACAACCGCTGATTTTATAACCTACTCACGGATTTCATCGCGTTCGTCAAATTAACAAGCCACAATTACCGAAACTACGATCGCTTAACTCATTACCCTACGATTTCTTCCATAACAGCATAAAACTACTCTGTTATAGTTTACTGAAAGGAGAGAATTTCATGCTCTACATCCACGTTCACCGTAAAACTTAATAACCGACACCAGAAATGCAATATTCAATTCAAACTCGAAAGCTCTGACACTAGTTATTGTTAACTTTAGTTTGAGATCTTTCTCGAGATACTGCATGGCACAGGGTTAACTGCGAGAGGATCAGCGAAACTCTCTTCGGCACTGCGCAAAACGTTAGATCCTACTTATAATAACAACAGTAGAATACGATGCACAGTGACAACAGCGTAAACACAAAAATATTTGAAAAACAGAGAAACGAGCTACTGTTTACCTGGAAGAAATGCCAATCCTTTAAAGCTTCATGTCCCACGAGAGACGTGTATATACTCAGACGTTCGGTTTCACGGCGAAAACGCACGGAGCAGTGAAAAGGGGAGACGAATGAGGAGAGAGGAGAGAAAGAGAGAGAGAAGCTGGCGGGTTGCAGGTTTTGCGATTCCCGGTGACACGAAAGCTACAAAATGAAGGGCGAAGGACAAAGAGAGGCAAAGGGACGGGAGATGAACGGGGGCGAGGCGGAGGGTGAAACATGAAAAGGGGATGAAGGGAGGATCGATAATTCCCCGTATTTACTCACCTCGTACACGTTCGGGTGCCAAACTTTCGTCATAAACCGAATGCTTGGCGGACTGTACGGATAATCCGGCGGGAACTTCATGTGTGCCTGGAAAAAAGAAGAAAGAAAATTGATGCGGCTTGTGCGTTGGAAAAGAAGCGCGCGCGGTCACGGTTCCCCTGGGGGATCCGGTCGATAATCGAGAACGCCGGTTTCGCGCGGGCTTTATCGAGAGCGGTTGCCCACGGTTGTCCGGGAAAATCGTTTCTAATAATAATGACAACGAATCGAATTCTTTCCTGCAGACGAATCGGCTGTGAAGAATTTCGGAAGGGGAGGGATATGTTGTTTGTATTCAGATGCTGTTGACAGGAATAATAGGGAGAACGAGGGTGTGATTGGGATTTTTTAAAATCGAAAGCTTTCTTTTCATTTTTAAATTGAACAGTTGTAAGAATGGGCGACTTTTTGAACTTTTTGGAAGGAGATTGTTAATGGTCTCTTTAAGGGGTAACTTCGTGTTCGATGTAAAAATTGTCGAAATTGTGTACGTGAATAAAGCAATAAGTTTTATATAGCTTGTTTGAGGTGATTTATTCGATCTTTTAAAATTGTAATCAGCTTTCTTGGATACCGAGAGACGTTTTTTCGAAGTTAATCTGCTTTTTATACATTCATTTATATATACTTCGGTGTAGGATGAATCCATTTTGCAGGGAGCGCGGAAGGGTCGTCCCGACGCTTGCTGGCAGACTTTCGTCGATGGTTCGTCGACGGGACGCTATATTGATCGCAACCGGGTGCCTCTTGCACAATCAAATGCAAACTGGTAATATTTAGCGAATTAGAACGTAAACTTGGTATGTGTGTTTTGCTGTGCAAGAGGCGTGGAACATCAGACAATTGTAACAGCCGGAAAATTCCGTTGTAACCCAGTGTAGGTTTTTGAAACATCCTAGGAAATGGAGGAATCATTACATTTTTTCAAGATACTTCCCTAAAAAACCTCTTTCGCTATAAAGTCATAGTAAATACTGTTTTTAACCGTTTGTCCTATGATTTCTTTCACAACTGAAAAAGACCAGAATTTGATGCTTATTTTGTGTTTACATTTACTCTAAAGATTAACGACTGATAACAGACAAAGAATATATCATTCACGTAAAAAATAAATAAACAGCATTTAGATTTATCAAGCTCAATTGAATATATATATATATATCGCAAGTCTGAGGCAATATTACAGGGGAAGGGGTTAAAGCAGTTGAGAAATTTATAGACATTCGTTAGGGAACGCGCAAGTATTCGCCAGGGTCACTAATATTTTTAGGTTTCCAGTTACAGACATATTTTCAGCGGAATGCGAGTCGCCTCCGTAATAAAACAGCATATTTTTACAAGCTCGACGAAATATTCTGGGAGAATCAGCTGATCCTTAAAACAGCAACGCGACGCTATATATTCTGTCCCGGTCCAGGGAAAGTGCGTTCAGAGCACGATGGAAGCGATGAACTTGGCCAGACGCCAGATTTTTGAAATTTCTTTCAGACGGATCGCATTTAGACTCAACTCAGAAAATTTCGGCTTCGCCGAGGTGTCTAGAAACACGGATTTAGAGGTTAGAATTCCTCCGACGACTGTAATGATGATGTGAAAGGGAAATGGAAGAAGGTAAAGGAGCGTTTCGTCCTGGGGACGATAAGTGGATTCCTTAGCAAGGCTGTCTAGCAGATTCGTAAATGTCGAGACGTTACGTGGCTGGTTGAAAATAATGTACAGAGTGACTCTAAAGAAAGTAAGCAAATTTTGGTATTGTATTCTTTTCAAGAACAAGTATATCATATCGACAGAACAGATGTCTGTATGAACTTTATTTTCTCCAGCATGCTAATTTTCCTAATTTTTTCCTGAATTATATAGGACACCCTGTATATACAATATCTACATTTGACCCTTCAATCTTCTATCTTTTGAAAACGAATATCATAACGTTAACGACAGGCTTTCACATCTACAGTCAAAAGTTGTAAATAAATAATTCACTTATTTAAATAACAAACTACAGTTCCCCCTTCTTCCTTTAATGCTTTCATATTTTTCTACTTTTAATACTTCAAAAATCTTTTGCGAAGGTTTAAGAGAGTCCCAAATACACGTTACTCGTCGCAAATCGATCAATGCATTAAATCAATATTATAGAGTGCAATTTCGCTGATGATATCGTCTTATATTAATTTCATAAAACGTCCATCATATCTATTCGAGCAGCGCGTCCCGGGATTAGTGTACTTCCTATCGAAAGCACTGTTTACGTTTCTGTCCGAGAATTATCCCCGGTCCTGATCAACACCGAATTAATTAGAGGGACGAACAAATTTCGTATTTGAAACGCGGGTGCGACACGCGCTTCGTCCGCCCTTCGCCATCTGACGAGCATCGTGTTTATATTTAATTGGCAGCTCGGGGAACAACCGCGCTCGCGTTCGAGGCAGTTCCGCCCCGGTTTTCCAGCTTTTATATCCGCGACAGCTTCTCGACGCGAAGAAAATGGAACACGTTGGATAGTCGGTCGCGAAACATCGCCCATTTCCACGGTTGCGATCCCGATCGAGCTCAAGATGGCCGCCGAAGAAGAAGGATAGACATGATAAGCTAAGAAAAATATTTATATTCGAATACAATCATTAATTCTTGGGCAGAAAATGTTTAAAAGCGTCGAGAACCTTTTTGTATTTTAGAAAAGAAGGAAAGTATGGAGCAATTTTTTGCTATTTGAGAAAATTAAATTATTTGTTGGATACTTCTGACAAGGGAAGTTATCGAATCCAGAAATTCCAAAATATTATGAAACGTTGTGTGTAAGTAGAATAAGTCAAGCCTAATAAAAAATTAAAATTTTTTAAAACGGGTTGGTGGTGCGGGTATTTTGAAAAATTTTAGCTTTCGGAAAAATTTTATTTTCAAACTTTATAGATGTGAAAGAACAATGTATTTTTTGTTGAAACTCTTTTTCTCTATAACTTACCGTTCTCAAGACAATCCACGGGAAAGAAAAATTTGCATTTTTTCCAAGGGGTGGTTTCAATCCTTCAAAGTAAATTTGCCATAAAAAAAAATTGCAATATAATAGGCTTGACTTATTCTACTTACGTGTTCTTATTCATTGGTTATTCCTTTCCTTTGTTTGAATCAAATTTTGTTCGCAACGTGTCTAATGTTGTTCCATGCTTCTTATCCGATTGTAGATAGGACACGTGAGCGAGGGACATTAAGAAACAGTGAACAACAGAAAACAGAGATACCCATCGGGATCTTTAAGTACGAAATCGGCGTGCTTTCTTGTCCTCATCGCGGGGAGCGCGGCGCAACGTTTCGAATGGAACACAACAAAATCGATAACACTTATCAGTTGGTCGGTAATCTCGCATGACATCGGGGAGAGGTATTCGCGGAACCGCGGACGAGATCGATTCATACGTGTAATTACGGGACGGCGTTTCCAACGTTTCCTGTATCAATGGGAAACGCTGTTCGTGTCACGTTCACGGGAAAATCGATGTCGATCGACTGTCGGGGGTAAAACAAGAAAAGAAATGGCGTGTAACAATGAAAATATTAGCTTCCCTTATAAATTCATCTTTAATTTCTATAACTTTCTTTTATTACAGTCAATTATCAATCTTTCGAAAAGCATAAGAAATTTCATGATTTATCCCTATACGATTAAAGAGAAAAGTGTTATTTCAACAGCACAATAATAATCGTAAAAGTAAGGTGGTAAATAATTAGCATAGCAATTACAATATAATTATAACATCAAATAAAGGCCACGTCCAGTATTATTCATTAACAACTCCAATCTGATCTAATAAGTGAATCGGCCGAATGTACACATTAATGATCTGAACGGTTCAACTCTGGACGGAGCGCATGCGCACACTGACCGCCGCAACTTTTCTAAAGTTCACCTTAGTTTCCGGCGGAAAATTCAAAAATAGACTTCAGCACTTCCGTTTCGTGGCGTCGTACACATTCGAACGTGTGCACATTCGATTCTGTTCAATAATGCAAAGGTCTCGACGCGTGTGACCGGGGAACTGTTACCTTGACGATACGATGACGGACGGTAAAATGAGCGTCGTTTTTGTCGATTCGTGAGCACGCCGCTCGAGACGAACAAAAATCTGCTCTCGAACGTGTTCGCGACACTCCATTTTGTAACTCGATACATCGTCAATTACTTCCACCACACTCTGGTACATGAGTTTATTAATATATATTCATAAAACTCGAGAAATTCTCAGGCTCCACTCACAAAGAATACAACTACGAAATTATTAATGCTTGTATTAGCAATCAAAATGTTTATCTTTGTTCAAACTTCAGTATCACAGTATTTTTACACAAATCTCTTCATTTTCCACTAAAAAAATGAAGATCCAAAGCAATGTCGCCAAATTTTCGAGAGAACGCAACAAACCGTTTAATAGAAAATACGAAAACCAGTACCCGGTTGCTAAAATATAGGTCAATGCATACGAAGTGACTTGGTAAAACGCACTGCACTTGCGTTAACCCCTTGCCCTACAATACCGTGTCGGACTCGTGGCGAAGATCTCAAGTATTCTACAATTTAACAAATATAAATGTCGCTTAATTCTTTCGAGTTAAAATTAATTATTATTCCTTTGTTATTAATTACAGTGCTTTAGAGCAAATGTAAACATAAAATGATCGTGGAATTTTGTTCTTTCTCTAACGAACTATGAACAATGAAATAGTTATGTTCAGTGCAATTGTGGGAGGAATCATAGTACAAGGGGTTAAAATTCGACGTTGAATCTAATCAGAAATAGAACTGTGAGAGATGAAACGTTGGCACGGGATATGCAGAAATGGTCCTCCAGTTTCGCTGCTTACGATACAATCGAAACGGGGTCGTTCACTCGACGGTATTCGTGTCTTCGGCGGCGCGGTGACCCACAAATTCCCGCGACCTATTTCAGCGACCCGATTGGTCTCTTCCAGCGGCGTCCCTGAGATGTCCGGACGTGATCTGGGTAGCGTGGTACTAGCTCGTCGGCGACTGTGCCTGATTCGCAAGGATC